GAACGAATGAACGAATGAACGAACGAATGAACGAACGAACGAACGAACGAACGAACGAACGAACGAAAAAAAAAAACATGGCCCGGATCAGAAGTTCTTTATTCTTTCAGTTCTTTTGGACTTTAGATGATTTTTCATTCAGAACCTTTGGCAGATCTCAGATTAACGAAACGTGTCAAATATTAAAATAAATAAATAAATAAATAAATAAATAATGCCTGAAAGTCATTTTTAAATAAAAACTGGATAGAAACCTGAACGAGAAGCTTCAGTATCTCGTTCTTTTCTCGAGTTTAGTTCATTCAGGCTTTATTTATCCAGGTCGGTCTCACCGAGTCACGAGGACTCTTTACAAGAGAGACCTGTAGACACTCGAGGTTTGATGACCCAGAGGTCAAAGGTCAAATGAAAATGTCCACATACAAGAACTGAAGCAGATCTAGAGGTTTGATGACCCAGAGGTCAAAGGTCAAATGAAAATGTCCACATACAAGAACTGAAGCAGATCTAATGCTGGTGCACGGGAATTGTTCTGAACTCAACTCCTTTCTAACTGATCAACACTCAAAGCTCTTTACAACAAGCTCTATACTAGATGAGAATAACCAGAGCTTCATCACATCCACACACTGATGGACACACATCAGAGGCAGTGCAGGGTCAGTGCCTTGCCCAGGGACACTTTGGCATGGGACTGCTGGTGGAATCGAACCCCCAACTCCTGCATTGGAGGACGACTGCTCTAACCACTGAGCCACAGCCGCCTCACTTTTATGTAAAATTCATTTTATTTTATAAAATGAGTGCAGAAAAAGAACAAAGCTTTTATTTTGAAGATATACAATTATTTAACGTTCATATTATTATCAGGAAATAAGTTATTAAAGTATATGTTTCTAAATACGGATTAAAAGGCACTTTTTTCCAAATAACTAATTTATTAGTCATTTATTTATCATTTATTGGTCAATAGTCGGCAGCACGGTGGCGCAACTGGTAGAGATGCTGCCTCTCAGCGAGTAGGTCCTTGGTTCAAACCCCGGTCCAGGGGCCTCCTGGGTGGAGTTTGCATGTTCTCTCCGTGCATGCGTGGGTTTTCTCCGGGTGCTCCGGTTTCCTCCCACAGACCAAAAACATGCATGTTAGGCTGATTGGTAACTCTAAATTGTCCCTAGGTGTGAGTGGGAGAGTGAAAGGTTGTTTGTCTCGTTTGTCTCTATGTGGCCCTGTGATGGACTTGCGACCTGTCCAGGGTGTACCCCGCCCCTCGCACAGTGATTGCTGGACATGGGCACCAGCGACCCCCGTGACCCAAAATGGAACAAGCGGGTAAAGATAATGGATGGATGGTCAATAGTCATAAAGTCATAGACTTTAGTTGATTAAAAAAGCAGCTAAAGTCCAAAAAAATAAACCCTAAGACTTTGAGGAAGTCCACACCTGAGCAAGAAATGACAGCTAAAAACAAAAATTAGCAAAACGATAGCTAAAAGCTAAAAGTAGCATCAGAGAGAAAAAGAGCTGATTTTAAAGAATCGTTTCTTCACGTTTCTTTGATGTTTTTATAAAATCAAATATTGTGGAAAGTTGCAACAAAGGCCGCAGCCCTCGCCTCCTGAGGGACTCGACATGCGAACGTCTGGATCCCTGGAACTGCTGAAGAGGACTTCTGGGGTCTCATCAGAGCTTACCTTGCAGTTTCTGTGCCAGGAGGCCAGGATCAGGTTCCTCAGAGCCAGGTACATGGTGGGGTCCCGGGAGAACTCGGGGAACTCGTACAGCTCGTCCAGCTCCATCATGTCGGGCCGAACGCACAGAGCCTTCCCGCACTCGTTGGGCTGGTAGAAGGGCTGGAAGTACGAACACAGACCTGGAACTGAGAGACGAGTCCGGATCAGGACTGCGCACGGCATCGAGCCCACGTCCTGATCCTGATCCGACAGACTCACTCTGAGGCTGGACGGCCCGGCAGCGATCGGCCCTCAGCTCGGGCGCCGCCGCGCCGCCGGAGGATCCTGAAGGACTCATGCCGACGCAGTCGGGGTAGTAGGCGGCGAGGAAGGGGCCGGCAGGACTCTCTTTGAACAGCGGCGGCAGGATCAGCATGGAGTGCCACCAGCTGTCGCTCACCTCGGACACTCTCTGCACGAATCACACGTGTGAGTGAAAACAGCAAGTCTGGGTCCAAAACCACTGAAACTGAGGAGTAAACCTCGTTTCAGAGCAAAACAGGAGCTCGCGAGGACAAACCAGTCCAGAAACTGGAATATTTTACAACCGACATAAAAACTTTAAAGTGAAACACCAGAATAAACAGATCAATCTGAATCAATTACAATCTGTTGATCGTTTCTTTGGAATACTTCACAGGATCGTTTCTTTCTTACGGCTCAGGTCCTACAAGCAGCTCAGAGTACGTGCTGAGGATGACTCTCAGTTACTACCACACCAAAACTTTGCTCCAGATCTGCCACGTCAGCTGATTTATGTCCGTGTTTGCCGAGGTCAGTCACCATACGGCGATTACTTCCTGAAAGTTTCATTTAAAATCTGTTCAGTGGTTCGTGAGATATTTTGCTAACAGACAAACACAGGATCTCCCGTTTCCACGGCAACGGGTGATAACACTTTAAAAGTTGACAAGTTAAAGCTGGTCTGGACCTTCAGGAGTCCCAAACCCTCACAGAAGGTTCCTGAGCCACAAACCTCTGGACTGTAACTTTTAACGTTTATTAACTAATTCTAACGACGTTTATTCGTCTTGGGTTTTAAAGGTTGTAACCTGAACTGACCAGGTCCTCGGGCTGGGAGCACTGGTCCAGGCCCTCCGTCTGCAGACAAACAGAAGGTTTCTGCCATGACAAGTTGTCGTCTCGATAGAAGAACAGTTCATTCTGTCTCCCAGCTCACCTTGACGTTGCTGAACTTCATCCCGCAGCGGTACGTCGCTGCCAGAGAGGCGGACACTTGGATCTCTTTGGTCAGCTGACGCCACTTCCTGCAGTCCGGTCTGGTGCACTGGACCTGACGGAGAAACACCAACATTTACGTTCGACAGTGAACGCGTCACGGTTTGAACGCTCGCTTCCTCTTCGTACCCAGTAAGGCAGCAGCTGGTCGGCCATGAAGGCTTTCAGGCTGGGCTCGCTTTTGCCGTTACTCGTCCACACCTTTTTCCACGCAGCGAACGTCTCGTAGCCATCTTTGTGGCTGAACAGAGAAGAAGAACACCGTGTCAACACCGCTCGCCTCCACGCAGCACAAGCGTGTTCCGTTACCTTCTGTAGTAGTGATCGAAGCACTCGTTGCAGAAATGTTCACCACACGACAGATGATACCAGCGGGACGTGTAGCCGTTCTTTGCACACCTGAGCAGACAGAGGAGCAGCTGTTACTGATGATCAATACAAATATTTCAATGAAAGGTTTGATTCTGCTGCGTCACCGTTCTGCTGCACTGGCGAAACAAACGGGGTACATGGCAGAGCAGCCGGACTTCTCACATCGCCTGTACTTCTTCTCACACTGGTCATCTTCTTCCTCCGTATCCGTGGCTTTTCTTTTACTCTGAACCGAAAACAACAGAATGGATTTATTTTATTTACTGAGGATTATTCAGAATTACAGGAGGTTTAAATAATCCACAAAAATACGTCTTCTTCCCCTGAGTTTGGGGCTTTTCTTTATTTTTTGTTAGAAGAACTCAGTTCCACAGCTTGTGTTGTTTCCATCTGCTCTGAAGCGCCAACATCTACAAAAGTTTTACCCCCACTGCCACAAACGCTGGGCGATAACATCTGTGAGTCTGTTAGCAAAATATTTCATTTCAATGATGGATTTTAACAAAACTCTCCTAATAACTTGTAGTGTGGTAGTAGCAGAGACTACCTCAACACACTGAGAACCACAGACTGAACAGATCTCTGATTCAAACTTAGGTTTTACTGATGGTGTCAACTCTGTTAGCAAAATAACCCCATGATGCGTTCAATGGATTTTAATGAAACTGATTAACGTTCAAGATGGCCGCCACAGCTAAGCGACCTCAGCAAACTCAATAAATAAATAAAATGAGCTGTCAATAGAAGGTTGTAACATTTGTTAACGTGATAAAAACTAAATTAGTTGATGTTCAGTTTTCGTGAGTCAGGGAAGAGCAGCTCACCTGTCCAGGTGGGGGGTTGTTGGTGCGCTTCACCCGGGCGTTGCTCTGCCTCCCGGAGGAGCGCAGGGCCTGTCCGTCCCCCGGTGACTCCCCGGAGCTCCTCTTCTTGGCTCGGCGAGCCCCGGAGGCATTCCCGGAGTGATCTACGACAACAAACAGCGTGAGAGCGGGCGGAACAATACACGTCCTCTCAAACGGGCCTTTACTGCGACCGATAAGTGGTTTGATAACAGAAAACATGCTAAATAAACCCGAAAACCGAAGCGAACGAGGTGAACTAGTTTGTAAACACAACAGGCTCTGATTTAAAGACATTATTCCAGCCCTTTAAATTAGCAGCCTGTCGCATTAGCATGTAGCCGCTAGCCACTTACCTGCGTCCGATAGCATCGCGCGCCGCCTGCGCTCACGTATAACCGGCAGGGGCGCAACTACATATTTTTGAGGTGGATGCGAACACATCATCGGCGCCCCCCCCACCCGCTCCTTTTTACTTGCCGCCTCATACAGCTTAGTCATGCACTTAGAAAATACAGTAGTAATATTACAGATTTTTTTAATGTTACATATTATATCAGGTGATCATTTCAATCATAAACAAATAAGAAGTTTTATAAAGTACAAATATATAACAGTAGTGGTACTCAGTCAGTGCTCAACATTTTATGTAGCGGAAATATGACATCTTAACAGCCTGGAGTCCATGTCAGAGTTTTAACATTTATGACATTTAAACTGTTACATTCCGTGACTTTGCATTTGCCCATTTGTCAAGTATAACATCAAATGAAATAGACCGTGCCACACTGTTTTCAATAGAGATCACTGCTAACTGGGACAAGCGATCATTGCTCATATTTGAACGAAGGTATGTTTTGATGAGCTTCAGCTTGCTAAATGATCTCTCTGCAGATGCAACTGTCAGAGGCATGGTTAAAAATACTCTAAGGGCTACTGTCAAATTTGGAAATACCAAATCAAGGTCCTCTTGAATTAGGAAATTTAACTTTTCTAGAGCCTTGTAACCCTTCAGTAGACGGCTTGCTGGGTATATTTCTTGAATGATATCTCTTGAAACATCACAAGTGGTCAGGGCATATGTGGTCACTGATTCCTCCAGCTCAGCTTTTGTCATGTGCTCCATTTTAGTGATGAATTTAAATTTCTCAGACACAAGTTGAAAATTGGAAAACCTCTCAGACAGCTCTTGGAGGAGTGTGTCAACAATAACATTGAAAACCATGCACCTGAAGTGCCTTGTGGGTTCCTTTTCATGATGACCAGTGCATGAATTGTCATCTGGGAAATTCTTTTGCTTCCTAAGTCGTTTCTCTTTGAACTTAGGAGAAGCATCCATTTCGATGGCTATTTTGCTTGCAATGTCAAGTGACTTCCTTTTTCTGTTTTGCGCCCCGGATAGCTTTTTTTTCTGCCGCTCCATCTTGTTGTCAAGTGCACAACGAGCGGTAGTTCAAGATTAAAAAAAAAAAAAAACGCGCCGAGTGCGTTCTCTTAGGGGCGTGTTCACAGCCACCTGTGTGGGAAGGGAGAGCGATAGGAGGGGAGGTGAAGGAGCAGAGGGGAGGTGAAGCAGCAGAGGGGAGGTGAAGGAGCAGAGGGGAGGTGAAGGAGCAGAGGGGAGGTGAAGGAGCAGAGGGGAGGTGAAGGAGCAGAGGGGCGCCTAATCAGTGCTGTTCCCCTGTTATTGATCATTTAGAAAATGCCTACTAGAAAAACATTTTTTCTACAGAGGGTTTTGACGCCCCCTGCAGTGCAGCGCCCCTATGCGTTGCATACGCTGCATACCCGCTTTTTGCGCCACTGATAACCGGTGCTTTTTACCGCCTGTTTGTGTCTTATACGGTTCAATAAACGGATAAACTCGCCTCCGTTTTATTGTTGTGAAGGAGGAGAAATCAGTGCGCTGCTGCTGCGTAAAACACAACTTCCTGTCTGACAAAGGAAATGGGCGTTTCGCTTACAATGCCTTTTGAGCTTCGCTGCTCGCCGTCCGCAGCGTTTGGACGGCGTTACCGCAGCAACAAGTGTTAGCGGTGTTACCATGGCAACAGCGGGAACGCTGTAACGGTCAGGGCAAGGAGATTGCTGAATTCTTTCTTCCCGGAAACTTGTTACAAGATACAACTAAGAAGTATTTTTTTTGTTGTTGTTAGAAGCTATCTTTTGTTTGAGCAAATAAATAATCACACTTTTGTGTTTAAAACTGTAAGCAAAGTATTCTGGCGGGCTAAATTAATAAGAATCTAAATAATGTAACTGTGAGGTGCTGAACTTCCAGTTTCACAAAAATGGATTCAGGCCATTTTATTCACAGAACAAATTCAGACATTCCCAAAATCAGTTTGAGAGCAGCACTTAAAACCCAGGACTTTCAGGAGGTAAGGTGTTTGTTTTATTTTGTATTAAAATAAATCTTTAATTAGCTAGCTATGCTAACTAAACTAAGCTAGTTAGCTAGTCCGGCTAATGTTAGCCTGAGGACGGTTAGCTGACAAAAAGCACAAACTTATGGAATAAATAGAGTCAAATAATGTTTTCAGGGAAAAAAAAGGAAATAAAAAATAAATCTAAGAAGAAGAAAATTGTGAAAATACAGAAATATCTTTATTAAGTCAGATTTAGTCTGTTGTCACATTTAGTTTTACATTAATTTGTAAATAAATGTAATATATGTAAATTTTTATGCTTTTATTAAGCAAATCTACTGTTTGAGTGTAATGTGGTAAATAGTTTATGTTGTATCTAAATTGCATTTTATTTTATATGTTATGGCTCGACAACTTCTACAAATCTTGCATGTAAAATGTGTCAAGACGTTTTTTGAGTTTTTAAATCAAGTAGCACTTGGACAAACTAAAGTTTCCCGCAGGTCAAAAGTCTTGACCTTGGTAAAGTGATTCGTCTCCTTGAGGATCCTTTGACAGTAAGTTCAGTTTGTGTTTTCTTAATCTTCTCATTTTGAAGTCTTGTTTTGCTGCGTGTGATCTTCCTGTTTCTGTTAAAGACAAACTTGAAGGAGAGGCACCTTTTTGTCTTGAAGAAACTACTCAAGAGAAACCAGAATGGCTTCGTATCCTTTCCTAATCTAATCCTAATCCTTTAACTTTTCAAGCCCCATTCCTGTGGAGATTCCGGTTTTCAGAGTTTTTCCTGCAGAACGTCAAGTTTTCCTACAATATGGATTTATACTCATACAAACTGATTTTAAAAATATATTTTGTTCCAGTATTTGGATTTATCATCACATGAATTTGTTATTCAACATTTTACTGTTCAGAAATAACATCAGCTATTAGTATGATACTTGACTTTAACTTGATTTTAATTTTGCATTAAAAATTACTTTTACTGAAGCGTTAAAACTTCCTAAAGTATTCCCAGCTTTTGAGGGAGCTGACAGACCTCTCCAGAATACTCAACATCTGTGCTGAGAAAACAACGGATCACCATGAGTATGCAGCAGTTCTGTGTGAAGCTCTTAAAATCTGCAGGTAAAAACACATATTTGAACCTCTGAACACATTTTCTTTGATCGTTTCAGCTCCTTTCTGTTTCGTTTTAGCCTTCCCTTCGTGAAGGAGAGAGCATCAGATGAGCTGAACTTCACTCAGGCTGTCACAGAGTTCCTCTCAAACATGGGTGTGTGGGTTTTCTTTTTAAATTAACATAAAAATTACAGCTCTCAGATTTATTTTTTATTCAGATACTTAGTGGATACTCAGTGGAGCTACGTCAGATCTGTGACGCCGCCACTAAAATTCACGTCGTCCTCTGTACGGTTCTTAGTTTGGCCTCTGCACAGTGAGGGTGACGAGTCTCGCGTGTTTCTGTTTGCAGCTCGTCTGATGAGGGTGTCACACGAAGAAGTGAGGCTGCGTCTTGTTGAATCTGTGAAGTCGTTCTTCAGCTCTGCGGTTCAGATTAAAGAACCTGAAGGTTCGGATCGTCTCAACAAACTAAAGCTTCTGACTTTTTTATGTCAGAGCCACAACGAACTGATTTGCATTTCAGCAAAATGTTTTATTTTTGTTTCAACATATTGCTGCTTGAGCTTCATTAACATCATATCATGACAAGTTAATTAAAAATCAAAGATAGTGTGCCCACCTTCTCTAACCTCTTCACCACCACTCCCCCTTGACTGTGTGTGTATATATATAAATATAAATCCGTATCTATATATATATATATATATATATAT